TTATGTATGTAGGTCTATGAAATGCAGTATCTTCTACATCTAGGCTATCATTGTGTCTATGTCATACATCTAAATTTGCTTCATTACATATATATCCATAAATATAACACTTAAAGGAAAAAATGTGCTAAAGTGAACTTTCAAGACTAAAATCTAGTGCTAATGCAGCTAATATTAAATAAATTAGAGAGGTTATCCCATTAGAAAAAGCAGAGTAAAAACTATTGTAACGTAGAAGTTAATATTAGTTAAAGATTCATTTGGGGGGGGGAACTAATAGTTGTTCATTCCTTGGAAAATGGCTGAATTTTCAGAAATTAATAAATTTATTCTCTTTTCCTAATAAATTTATTCTCTTTTCCTAGTTAGAAAAAATACATACGAGTGGAATTTAGCCTGAACTCATCAGGATATAACTGAAATAATTCCACTATTTTTCTACTAGTGTTTTGGGGATTTAAAAATGTATGTTAAAAATGTAAAAAGGTAAACTATAGTCTGTAATAGTTGTGTATAATGTCAGACTCTTCGTTATTAACATTTGCAGATATGGTTTAATCTCTCTTATGTATAAAGTCAGGCTTCTCGTTATTAACATTTACAGATGTGGGTTAATCTCTCTTATAATTTAAAAAAAAAACTGTTTGACATCTTCATTCTGTTTAGGTACTTTTTGCTGATTTTGATATTTTTTACATTTTTATATATAGTGAATCAGTCTTTAATAAGAATACTGTTGCTCACAATCAAAAGTTCCTAAAGTGGTATGAACTGCAGTCAAACTCTCAAGGGATCAGAAGTGTGAAATATATAGAATCCAATATATATATAAATTCTGTATAGAATCTGACAGATTATCTCTCAAAATAGTGTAAAATTTGAATGATGAATAAAGGAAAAAAAACTGATTAACATTGTCACAGCTACTAAAAGAAATGATAATAAATCTGATTTTTAAAAAGTGCTACTAAGCTTTAATTTCAATTTTTATTGAGCTGTTAATTAAATTTTTTCTTTCCTTTCGAGTGTGTCCAGTGTATGTGGCAAATTTCACGTGCTTTTATTTGAAGCATTTTTCCAAATACTGTTAGATTATGGCTTCTTTGATTGGAGAACAATTACAGAAATCCTTCTTGAACATCTCTATGGTCCACCTTTCTTAACTTTAATCATGAACAGAAAGCTTGGATCATATCTTTACTTCTGGCATTAACTACTAAGAGTTTTAACTAGTATCCTGAAAACTATAACCATTATTTTTATTTTTGCTTGGTTTAAAAATTTAAAGATGTACATTTGTACATCATCGCAAGAGGCAAAAAATAATTATGAAAGCTCATGAATTTAGCAAAGTCCAGACTTTGTAGATATAACTCGTCAAATGATATGTTGGCATGGAGGCAGTCAGAGAAGTCGTGATCTTGAGAGGGCATCTGATTGGTCGCGTTTGTGTTAGCCGAATTCAGTTAAAGTTCATAATTAAGCTAAAAGTTAGCTCAAAATAAAGTACATTTTTGTATTTTCCTTTAGTCCATAGTCCAAATCAGTGAGGAAAAATACAGAATGCACAATTTACACGCAATTATTAATATGAAAAATGAAAAACTTGTAGGCGTGGCTTGGGAGAACCAATGAGTTGAGCGGTTAGAGTCCAATGCATACACAAAATACACTAAGTCCAGAATAAGTAAAGTCTTGATTAAATAAAAAATATGTACAGTTGACAAATTTCAGGTAGTTATATACAAGATGAAAATGAGGTGATTCAAAAACTAATGTGTCTGCAGTTGGGAAATTGTAGTTTATTAAACTAGAATTCCAAGTCGATGCTTGTAAAATAATCAAGGGCAGCAATGCCGTCATCATTGACTTTGCGTTCTTAAATTTCTGTAGGCATTCTTTGCTTTCTCCAGATGGGTTTTTATCCATGTAAAATTGGATGTTTCATTTTCGTTATTTGTATCCTGATTTTTCTTACGCCTAGCTGATTTGTTAGTGTCAGTTTGCTCATTTGAAAGGGTGGGGAATTCAGATGCTTTAAATTGAAATTTATTATTTGCTTCAGCTTCTTTCTTGGCTTTCACCCTGGCGATGGCTTTTTAGATATTATGCGGGTGCTTAATGCAACCTTTATAAATTGAAACATGGTTTTCGCCACAAAGGGCACAGCATGCTGGTTTATTATCCTCTTTCTTTTGGGTGCAGGTATAGCTTTCGTGTGGTTGTGCACATTTCATGCATCTTTCTGTGTAATGACATAGCTCCTGTGTATGCCCATAATGTGCATTTGTGGCATTGCACGGTGCCTTTTTTTATATGTACGAGGTGATAAAAATATCTAATCCTCTGAGTTTTTTGACATCATAGGCTTTTTTTTGCCTTCTAAGTTGCGTTTGCATTCAACTTGGAATTGTGGCAATTTCATAGTATTTCTATCCCTTAAGAGCCGTTCCCATTGGGGTTTATCTGAGTTAACGAACACAATTCACGTAGCTGACCCATCTCCAAAACCAGTTTTTTTCCCATATAGCAGCAAGTTGAAAAATCTGAACTGCATGCACAGCGGAGCTATTCGACACATGGAAGGTGCAGTAACCTGTGTAAAGAAGTATCTTATGAAAAACCCTTATTTGGTGGACAGAACTCGTAGAACATTTATATTCAAACAAAACAAAGCCATAAGGATAAAAATTTTTCATTCTGTAAAAGACAAATCTTTGTTCTGCTAGAGTTGGATGTCACACCTGTCTTACATAGCCTTTGTTTAGAACACAGTGAAGATGAAGCTAAAAGAAAACTAGCATAAAAGTGTGTTCTTTTGCAGATGAAATAATGATGCTAATATTCTAAATGTGGCTGATTTTTAACAGAAATTTTTTATTAACAGTTGCAAAAATCCAAAAAAAAAAAAAAAGTATGAAAAACAGAAGGGAAGTTTCAATCAAAGATGTTTGTTGTATCCAATTTTCATACTTTTGGAGGTTCACTAAGTGTGTAGGGAACTGCCTGTGACCAAAAGTTTTATTCATTACAACCAGGGGATTGCTATTAGTTGCATTCATGGTGGTGGTTTTCTATTGCATAATTCTTTCTATACGTGTGTTACAATCCATATTCTTTATTCCATCCTAAAAAGAGTATATAAACAGAAGGTAGGGCACATTTTGATTTTATAACCAAAATATTCTATTGCTTATTAATATAAACTTATTCCTCAGAAGTGTACCTTTTGGTTTTATCATTAAGTAGTGGAAAATAGCCGAAACATAGTTTTCAAGGCTTGATTGAAATTTGGTGTTAAATTTGTTCGTTCGGTGTAGTACATTTCATGCTTAATGAGTTTTAAAATTGTGTTTCTGTGTATTGGATTGGATTGAATTATTTAATTTTAAGCATATCACACAAAGACTGTCTGAGCTGCTTCTAAGTTTTGTGTAAGAGCGCCACAGTGGATGGAATCTGAGGATCTCTTACTTCTGTTTGCTTTCCACCCACCTCTTGAGAGAACTTGCTTGTTCATAGCTTTTGAAATTTCTCTTGTCCATGAATACATTAATATGACAAATGTTTGTGCTGTCTACGGAATGTGAATCCAACGCAGTGACCAATATGTACTAGCTTCTTTGAGCTTTCATTCTATCCAGGAGTACTTCTGTGGCTTGTGTTATGAATATACTGAAACCCTTTATTGTGGTTGTTTTCTATAGCCAACTAACTAACTACCTCTTAGTCAGGAACCCAGTGTTTCTTAGAATACGAGAACTATTGCTAGTCAGCATTTCTATAAGATGATCACCCCTACAGAAGAATTAAGTCATCTGGAGCTGTGATTGGTCATTTGAAAGAGGTTCCAGGACATATGTGTTTTATTTATCATGTTGGAATTAATATGTTCGTGTATAAATTTTAAAGCAGAAATTATTGATAGCTTTATATTGGGAGTCTTTTGCAGAAATAATGGCCATGACATAGGTGCCAACTCTCCTGGTTTTTCATCTCCAGTAGATAGCAGAATCTGCCAGGTTTTAATTTTTAGGCTTTTGTTATTTTATCTATCAAACTAGAACAAACCTCAATGGCCGATATGATTCTCTGAAGTATTAGGCAAAGAAGAATGCAGAAGTATGTTTTTTATTGAAAATATGAAATTCACGAGTCCTCAGGTGCAAGTGAAATGAAGGAGTTATAAACTTAACGATTTGAAGTGAAAAGATTTTTTTGGGCTGCATTCATCTGTATGTCCGTAATGTTTTATATTTGCTGCAAGTTATTTGGCATTACTAATTAATTTCTTTCTATCATTCTTAAAAGGAATTTTGATAAATAAGTTTTTCTTACCTACTCAAGATTTGTTAGTAAGCAAATTAAAAAAAATTATTAAATGAAATTATTAAAAAAACAAAATTTAGAATATTTAATAAACATTAAAAATTTACATTAAAATCACATTACAAATAGTTCTGTAACCAAAATCATGCATTATAAAGTAAATTTAAGTCAGTTTGGTGTACTCTTAAAATCGCTTCACTGTACAATGTGAAAACCTCCCGATTTCTAAGATTTCAATTGTGACATCTCTGCACTGAGTTTTATTCATTTAATTTGTTGAATTAAAAAAAAATAAAGCTGCATTTTTTTATGTTGCATATAAAAGTTTGAACGAATTTAAACACTGCTATTTTGTACATACAGTTAGCTTTTTGGGATATTTTATGTAAGAAATGTTTTTTTATAGGTGTGTTAGTAATTTTTATAGACATTACATTTAATGCATGTGTAATATATCAAGCTTTAATACATACTTGTCATTTGTTTCTAGCAGTATTTATAATTTTTTTATTAAAAATATTTGGCTTTATTTTAATCTTACAATTTGTTGTGCATAAATGGGATTTCATTTCTTATAACTGAATGAAAGTGACATTTAAAATGTATCTGAATCTTAATAAAAAATTAATATTATTAAATATTATGTATATAATATAAATATTTGCTTATAGATGAAGCGGGTAATAACCATTGGCCTGAATTTCTGAAGTTCCTATTTGACTCAGCTTGTTCACAAGATCCAGTATTGCGAGAAATGTCATTGTTGATGTTTTCGTACGTATATTATAGTTATAAGTGTATTATGTATATTACTGTTATAAATGTGTTTTTTAAGTTGGGTAATTTAATAACGATTTGGGAAGGAAAAATTTCTGATGACATTGAATGAAACAAATTTCAGAAAAAGCTATTTTGTAGAATATGGTGCTATGGAAATAAAATAATCTCTATGTTATAATTTGAATATTGTATGGAATACTGATGATGAAAATATTAGCTAGTAAAATACTCTCGAAAGAACAAGCAATTTTTTGTTTGAAATAAAAGCAATTTTTGCATGCAATTTTATGAGTTTAGATACTGAATAGGAAAAAAGAACATTTCCACTTCTGTTTTTATTTAAAAAAAAAAAATCCTATGTAAGCCTTTTAATTAGCAGCTTTAAAGCATCATTATTAAAGTTTGTTTTGAAGTGCTGATATGTGTTTTTATTATATTGTTCTGCATATTTTGTTCTGTTTAATAAGTATGAATTAAATAGTAAAGGGTAAAGCATTTGTTATATAAATGCACATGTGAAAGCCTTATGTTGGCAATTTCAAGAGTTGGCCGACTGATTTGGTTGAAGCCCCCCCCTCTCAATTTTTTTTAAACGGTTATTTCTGATTTGGGAATCTGTATGAAAATTATCTTGTTCTGCAAAATTAATTATTAAATAGGTAAATTAAAGAAGTATAGAAATTGCATAAAAAGACAAATTTATGAGCTTTACATGTTCAGCCGCTTGCTTGTAATAATGAGAAGAAAGGTAAACTTGCATTTTATCGTTAATTATTATTAACAGAATATTTGAAATTTCTGTGAAGATTTTTGGCATTGCAAAAATAATTAATTTGTAGGGTTCCTCACTCTTTTTGGCTAAAGCAAATGTTGAGGAACCAAGTGAACTATTTAGTGACTTATCGAGTTCAAATAACTAAAGATGAAGACTCAAGAAGGGTTAACTGCCCTTTATATCACTCAAATAAAATGAACAGGTGGCCCCTTTCTCCAGCTTACAACAAAGCCTCCATTCGGGCTTGAGCTCAAAATGAGAACTAAACTGTAATTAACTAAGAGAGACTTAAGCTAATACAAGTTGTAATGTAGTTGGCCTTTAATTTAAACTAGTCGGCAAATATTGAGAGGCACATAATAATACGGTCCAATATAACAGCTTCAAGATAGATTAGCCTGAAGGCAAATGCGTTACTCAGGCTTCCTTGCTCTCTGTGGTGAAGTAAGTTGAACTTTCTTAAGTACTGCTTCTATCTTATTTGCATTCAATGCGATTCTAAAAACTCATTCTGGTAGGAAATTATAAGTGGAAATAAGAATTGATAGGAAGTGCCTTTAAAATTAAAGTAACTGTTATAAAATTAATATATACTTTACAAAGTAAAACACGTTTTTTGAATATTTTGTCAAGGTGCAGAAATCATACGAAATAATTTACAAATGATGATATTAATACCATGATGTGCGTTTGAAATTTTAATAGCTAATGTAGTTTATTGTAATAGACATTTATTTTATTATATCTATCACAGATGAAGAAATAATTTCAAAGAGATTGTTATTAATGTAGTAACCTGCTTTGTTTTATTTGCTTGTGTTATCTAAAACATTATGATTAAAAAAAAATTCATGGAGTAAAATTGACGAAAAGGGAGAGAAATTTGCTCAATGTGTACATTAAAAAGTGCTGAAAACAAGTATTTATTCAGTTTTTAAAACATTTGTATCCATTTCTAAGTAATAGTTGCACACTATGATAAATAGCAAGTGATGATCTTCAAGAAATAAACATGGGTTTTAAGAAATCTGAATTATTTCTGTGTTTTAGAAAGTAAGTTCCTAGTAGACTAGAAGAGAAACACGCTAATGTGACAATCAAAATCATAAAAACAACCTTGTATTTAGCGTAAGTGTATAGAAACACTCAATCGATTTCGAGGGCAGCTAAAGGTCCCTCCTCATAAGGAGAAAGAAATACATAGAAAGAAGAAAAATAAAGGGGAAGAAGACTCAGACACATGTGGTCCTTATCAGCACTGCACATGGTTATAACTAGATTTTTTAATCAGAGTTACACTGGCCGCCTACTTTTACTGAGCCAGGCTATCTGATCAAACATGTAACACAAAGGAGAAGAAAAATTAGGGAGCGAGGGGCAACTGCTCCTTCACGCTCAAAATCTGAACTTCGAATAAGAGCATGCTGGCATAGGGCTACTATAGTGTCACAAGCCATACTGTTCGCCTGGATTTTTAGACCCAGTGTTCAATGGTTTTACTGCTCGGCCGCTGGTCGGCCCTCTTGTTAATGGAGACAATGCTTGTCCACATAGGGTTCAGTTAATCAATGATTACCTGGAAAGTGAGGCTATTCACTGCATGGATTGGCCAGTGAGATCTGACTGTATACTACTGTAAAAAGTCCGAAATCCAGACGTCCATTATCCAGAATGATCTAAAATCCGGACCTCAAAACCACCACCATTTTTCTCTTTTTCTCCAGATTTGATTCCCCCTTCTGCGCATAATAATAAAACATCTGGAAAGTCCTTATTCTTAATTTCACTTCAGCACTAAATAAAATACCTTGTTATTGAAGAAACAATCATTTTAGCATAAATTTGTACGATCAGTAATTTGGCTTCGTTGCTGCATATCTGCTTGGCACGCATCTCAAACTTAAACATTCCACATAGATACATCGCTGATCTGACGTCAACCTGGCGAATCAGTATTTATTATACCTTCCTTTCACCACATGTTTATCAAAACATGACAACTTGAGTAATGAATTATGTAGCGATGCCTAAACAATTTTTTTTTATGTTAGTAATTGAATAATAAAGGAGTATGGTAACTTTTTATGCTCACATTATGCTTGGCGATAATTACAGATTTCAAGTTAAAACGCTAAAAATGTTGATGAAAAAATATTTATTAAAAATTTCTGTTTATGTGCTAAAAATAGATTTTGTAGATGATACTCATAAACCCAAAGATTACATTTAGGGCTATTTGAATTAAGAATAACTGATTTGTTATTCACATAAACCCAGAACAAGTGTCAGGGCTCATATGGCCGCACTGAGGCGCAGAATTTAGGACCCACAGAGACTGCATCAGGCCGTAAGATATCTAGCACCGGCCCTCAATAAGGCTGAAGTGTATGTGAAAATTTATTTATTCAGAACTCTGATAAGTCTTAACCTTTTCACATGGGCTCGAAAAATAGTTGTGTTCCTTCACTGGGGGCTCTTTGCTCAGGGGTTAGGGAAAGGGGAAAAAATTTTTCAGATCGAGTCTTAACGACAAGGGGATTAGTGCTGTTTTGTTGGCAGGCAGAGAACGGTCAGCATTTCTTTTCGGTCCAGTTCCAAAGCTCTAGGCGATAGAATGAAGAAAGTGTTCTAATCGCTTTCACACTGCACATTTCCCACGAAACTCAATTTATTGTTTTATTTTCAGACGAAATGTTTTATGCTACAACTAGACAATTTTGTTCATTTTTTAGTTAAAATAACTTTTTAAACTTGCACATAGGTTATATACTAAAAACTAAGCGAAGTAATCAGAGTTACCCACAAATCACTTGTCACAGTATAGAGAATTTAGTGATTCAAAATATTCAAACATATCCTTCATTTAACAATTATATAATTATCCTGATATTGAAGAGCAAATTAAATACAGTTTAATTATTACAAGTGTCATTTAGAAAGCATTTTCAGTTCTCAAATGAGTGTATTGTATTTATACTTCTGTAAAATTCATTTCTGGAGAAAAGAAATTGGTAAACTGCATTTGGGCTGCATGAAACATTATTGAAACAACCTAACACACATGCACTAACAAAAATTTACCAATGCACGAGGTAAGAATTTTTTTAAATAAATTTTCTTCCATGCGACATTGCAAATAGCGTTCCCAGGCTTGATCTGCCTTCATATCTGGGATATAAGATCTTAATTTTTTTAACCGCTTCACAGTTTTTGGTTCGGTAAAGAATGCAGGAGCAAACGCTGGGAGGTTGAGAAAATATATTGAATTATTATTGAATATATTGAAACTTGTTGAGTTCAAGTATTCAATAACAAAAATTAGGTTACCACTTAGACAATATTTATATGCTTTTACCTTAGAATAGAAGGGAAATAGTTGTTTGTCGATTTATAGTGTTGCTGCATTTTTTCTTTAAAAGCAAAATTGCATATTCAGGAACCCATTAAAATTTCAAAAAAAAAAAAAAAAAAAAAAAATGTCGAATGGAGAAATATTTCTTCAGTTTTTTATGATCTACATTTTCAGAATGCTAAAATCGTCTTTGAGGTATCAGATTGTTATGCGAAATTTTCAGATCTCAAGCTTTTTATTGTTGCATTCTTTCAGAGTAATGAAGCTCGGAATGAAGATTCGTACAGAGTTGATGAATATTAATAAAGGATCGTACTAAGGATTAAATTCAGGAAACAAAAAATAGTACACATCTCATTTACTCTATACATCCTTAGTATCCTAATATATCGTTTTATTCCCTCCAAAATACAATTCTCATGTAAAAATTAATTACTTTCTGAACACTACCTGGGACTGAGTGGTCAAGACTGCTGAATACTGGTAGTTCGACTTGGGTTTGAGGCCTGGCGATTGGGTTGGCTGCATGGTTGGTTTTTGTTGTTTGCCCCATGTGAAACATGAATACGAGATAGTTACCCTTAAAAGTTCTCTCGAAGCATCCTTTTTCGATAGGTAGCATCCTTTCCCTTAGAAAGGCAGCCTTCGTGTGTTTTCCCATGTTTAATTAATCTAAACTAACGTATCTACTTTCTGAAAGAATTGATACAGATATCATATTATAGATGCAAACATATAACAACGGATAAATTAATAAGTAAGAACCTTTTTTTAAATTTTGAATTATAAAATGTTCTTCATTAACTGCTTTAATAAAAATTCGTGTTTCATTTATCACACAGTCGAAATTCATTTTGTTATCAAAAT